TTGAACATTTTTGAATAACTAATATTACTTTTTTCCTACAACATGATCTACTTTTTCCTTTCATACCTATGATTTTTGATTAATTTTTAGATTATTTGCATGAATTCAATCAATCAAAATATTTCTGGCAATAATTAATATTTGTTGTTTCAAATTAGTAAAATTTCTCTGATAAGAAATTTAATTTCAGATGGTATCTTTGAAGCAAGAATTCGAATTTTACGATTATTTTGGACCAGTTGTTGTGATATCATTATTTGCTATCACAATACTGTTAATTTCATTTTTCATCCTCAATTTCTTTTTTATTTCCAAGTACGATGAACCAACCGTTTTCGAACGAGTATGTTAATCATACTATAAATATTTCAATTATTACAATAATAAGTATCATCACATAGCATCAGTGCATAATTCCTGCTACCGTAACTTTCATCGAATTATTTTTCCGTTCAAAATCCAATTATCTATTATCATAAAATTTACAGAATTATTTAATATCTGGGTTAAAATTTCAAAAAATTTAAACAAAAAAGATGACTAATTGTTCACTGTATCAATAATATATGCAAATTCCAGTATCTTTAGTCATAATTAGCAATTAGTAATTTTTTCTTTTTACTTAAATTAATTTAATGCTTCTTTGTAACATTTTTATATTTCAGATTGCCTCGAAACACAATCTAAGACTTGGACCGCACAGTGTGAAAACTGTAATAAGTCGTAAGCAACGATATATGAAAGATAGTAATAGCGGTGATCCGGATGGATCAGTTCATGAACCTCGAAAAGTTGTATTCACAAAAGGACCGGAACCTGAAGTGCATATCAACTCTGCCTAATTCAGTAAAAAAAAAAAAAAATCCATTCTTCAGCTTACATATTGGAAACACTTACGGTTAATTTAAAAAAAAAACACTTATGGCTAGTGCTATTTGCAAGTTTATACAGACGTGTACTTGTCTTTTGTGGTATGAAGTGTTTCTTCTTTTTCCTGCTTCATTTTTTGTTGCAATAATGAATTTAAAAAAAAAAAAAAGAATTAAAATTTTAATACAAGAGTTATTTCAATTTCAAAATTTTATTTTACCTTAATTTCGTAATGTT